CCCGGCATGTCGCCCTTCTTTCAGCACCTCCTCCCGTGGACAGCAGCCGGTGCGGAGGGGCGGACGGGCGGACGGGTGCCCGACGTAGCGAAGGGACGCCACCCGGCGAGGAGTGGGCGACGGTGCCCGGGTGAGGTGGCAGGCAGCCTGGCGCCACCCACAGAGGGCCGCTTCCCAGCAGCCGAACTGAGAAGGAAAGTTGGGGTGCGGGTAGGCGAGGAGGGGGCCGCGGCCTTTTCTTACCCCACCCATAAAGTGTAAGGTCATCCTTGGGGGGGACAAAACACCCCCATACACACCATGGACTCAAATACGAAGCACGTTTTATTTCTACACACCTGTTGTTGTCTTCTCAGCATTGCCTGTGCTTGCGGGTGGACGGAAGGGCCAGGCTTAAAAATTAGAACTCAAACCCTAAAAATTTGTGGGTGAGTTGACAGGGATTTTGATACTTCAAGAATCAAATTAGCAGCTATTGGCAATTCTCTCACTCTTCCTTTGCACTGTTGAATGCATCCCCCATAATAATCGGCCTAGAAGAATAATATTGCAAGAAGAGATCCTTGGCATTGATTTATAGGAGGTAGGAGTGCCAAAGTAATAGTGGTTGGGATGTTATTGGGCAAAATCCCCTTGCATAAACAAGCCTAACAAGCTCAATGTCATCATCATCTGGCAAAGGGAATTTTTTATTTTAATTCATTGAAAGCTACCTATATCCCTCCTTTCAGGTTCCGAGGTTCCCTGAGGCTTTCTTTTGGCCAAGGGAAGACCTTGGGACTCGGGAGGAAAACTTGCTGCTGGATTTTGGGCTATTAAAGGCTCCCCGCCCCTGCCTTATCCCAAGGCTTTCATTGTGTAGTCTGGTGGATGTTGGACCAACACAGTGGTTGAAATCCTGTTGCTTAGCATAGTAGGTTGAACTAGGGTAGCCTCACTGAGTGAAATCCTTCATAAGTTCCATTGAGTCAAATGGGCCTACTCTTGCTGTGACTTCCTATGCTATGCAATTAGTTATGATTTACTATGCAAATACTTATTGATGGCCCAGAAATATACAGAGTTGCAGAAATGAATAGAATTATGAACTAGGTAACTCTCTTTTGCTTAGTCATGGAGTAAGTGATGGCTTTGACCTCTATAACTGCTGTTATCAGTGGATTTCAAATTGCAACTCAAGCACAAAAAATCTGTTATGCATCTATTGGGGTCCACAGTTGGCAAAGATTTTAGTCTATCAGCTTACGGCTGGTGTTGTCATTTCCCTCTTTTAAACATATGATTTGATAATGTCTAGTTGTACTTCTTTTTTGGAGAGAAGCCTAGCCTTCATATTAATCCTATTTTGGCATAATCCTGGAATGTTAAAGTTTCACATGCATGCAGTTTTGAAATTAAGTCTTGATCAACAGAAATGGATTTCCTGAGCCCTATTGGTAGCTAGAACAGTGGTTCCCCAACCTTGGGCCTCCAGATGTTCTTCGACTACAACTCCCAGAAGCCTTCACCACCACCTCTGCTGGCCAGGACTTCTGGGAGTTGAAGTCCAAGAACATCTGGAGGCCCAAAGTTGGGAACCAATGAGCTAAAAGACCTATATTACAAGGAAAACACAACTATTTATCTCTTATGATTCAGGAATCAAAGACCTCATAACCTTTGCAGCATTTGAATGTGTGGTACATAGATGCCAGCTTTTCATAGATATATATTATGTCACAAAGTTTGTGTATCATTTGCTTTTCACAGCTCTGTAACGTGTGTATGTGTGTTATCAGAGCTTGGGAATGTATACTTTTTTTGGCAATGTATACTTCTGTGACTGAAGTTAGCCAGTTCTTAGTAAATAATAATGTAAGTCTTGTTCTTCATACCCAGAAATGTAAGGCATGGGTTGCTTTATTTTTTGAAAAGCATAATGCCTGTAACTTATTTTGTAAAATGGTGTCAACAAAACGGAGGAGAGAAATGTGCAAAGTACATTGAGTCAAGGTCAGGCTTGTCCAACCTGCGGCCCGAGGGCCGCATGCGGCCCAGGTCAGCTCGTCATGCGGCCCAGTGCAATTTTTTATTTTTAAAGAAATTCCAAAGTTTCAAGTTACACTGCCGGCACTTGCAGCCGGAATGTGGCCAGGGCATGTCACAACAGTAGAGGGGGAGAGAGGGAAGGAAGGAGTGGGAGGGGAGGGGATGGGGGGCTGCGTGACTGTATTGCGCCATCCCCGTCAATAGGTAGACTCCCTCCCAGCCCCATAAAGCCACTGGAGTCGAAGCTGGCAGCCTCTGCTGTCTGAGATCGCAGCTGCCAGTAAGCGTGCTTGGAGCGGGGCTGCGGAGGACAGCTAAGCCTGCCCCCCCCATGCGGCCCAAACCAAATTTTCATCTTCTAATGTGGCCCAGGGAAGGTGAAAGTTTGGACACCCCTGGTCTAGGTCATACTCTGTTTACCCACAGGGCTGGAGACATCCAATGTGAAACTTCATGCCCAAAATCTGGGTGCATAGTGTAGTAAATATCACTGCAGTGAGCCCATTGAATCAATGCAGATTGGTAAGTCACCTCCTCTATTAGATCCATTGATTTAAGTGGCTCTTCATAACTTATTCTGCTCAAGTAAGCAACAGTTAGAGTAGGACCATTTGAATCAACAGAACTTACAAAGGAGCTGACTCACTAAATCCCCATTGATTCAATGGGCCTACTCTGGAGTGATTTAATATGCCATGGAACAGGAGTTGGGCTAGTATGTTAGTCAATAGTTACGGGGGGGGGGGGCTTGAAGTTATAAATCATCAAGGAACAGGAGCTGGGCTAGTATGTTAGTCAATAGTTACAGAGGGAGGGTGCTTGAAGTTATAAATCATCATTGCATGAAAAAGTTTCCATGGTGATTCTAATCCATGGCAACTGTTGCACTGAGCCCAGCTCTGGGCACTGGGGATGTGGAGAGAGGAGAGACACTCATAACGTAACAGCCACCAGCTGAATGCAATAAGATAATGGGTGCCAGCTATAAGAATTAATGTAGGCTCTTTCACACTATACTCACCATTGGTCAGGACAGAACCATCAGAGGAAAGAAAGGTGGCTTCAGCAAACCTTTTCGTGTGCCAGCAGATCTTTCTCTCTGTTGCTGTTTTAGAGAAGACAGCAGAATCGTGAAGTGTCGTGCAGTTGCTATGACACTCATTTCATATGATGCTTTATGGCTGCTTCCTTGCTTGAGAGTAAATAATCAGAGCAAACTTCCATTATTCACAGCACAGCATAAACTGAGAAATCCAGAGAAGGATGATTTAGAAGGATGATCTGTTAAAGCCTCATGTTTCGAGAAAGGGAAAAATTTTGGAATGAATGTGTAATCTTTATAATCTCTACAATCAAGAGTATAAAGTCACAACAACCTCCAAATTTATGCTGCCCTCCACCCCCACATCTCAGACACTGATTGCAGCAGCTGCTCTCTTAACCTCCTTCCAATTTTAACAAACACTTGAGGCAATGTTTCTCTTGAAATCTTGGTGCCAATGTTGCCTTTCTCAACACTTGTTACAGATGATTCTGAGAACAGCCCAGTTTGTAGTGATGCAGTTGGCCTGAAGCCTGCCATTAATGTAGAAGCTTAATCGGTTGTATTTTTCACACGTTTGCATACAACTGAGAATCCCATTTGTAGGGACAGGAAGAATCATTTAGTTACACTCCAGGAAGTGGTCAGAAGATTTTCTGCTTTTTTCCCTGGTCAGTTTTCTTCATTGGGAATCCATTCCATCTTCAAGCATATTGAATTATTGGAAGTTCCTTCAGCAGCCTCTTACCCATTTCTATCCTGCCTAGGAGTCTCCAAAAATCGTAGTGTTATCTCATACCGGAACTGGCCAGAATAAAGAGTTTCTTCATAAAAGCAAGCTAAGGTGTATTCAGAGCATGTACTGGGCTTGTACCCCCCCTCCTAATAGCTCCAGGTGGATTGTGGCTTGTGCCCCATGAGTGGGTACAGAGAGGAAAGCAATTGTGGAGAAACCACATTACCAACGCAGGGCTGAATTCTAGGCTGCAGCCATTTTGAGATCACCTGTAGCAAAATATTAACTTCTTCCAACTTTCATAGTGTCATAGAATAATGGATTTGTCAGACTCCTATAAGGCCATCGAGTTGAACTCCCTGCTCAATGTTGTTGTTGTTTAGCTGTTAAGTCATGTTCGACTCTTCATGACCCCATGGACCAGAGCACACCAGGCCCTCCTGTCTTCCACTGCCTCCTGGAGTTTGGTCAAATTCATGTTGGTCGCTTCAGTGACACTGTCCAACTGTCTCGTCCTCAGTTGTCCCCTTTTCCTTTTGCCTTCACACTTTCCCAACATCAGGGGCTTTTCCAGAGAATCATCTCTTCTCATGAGATGGCCAAAGTATTGGAGCCTCAGCTTCAGGATCTGTCCTTCGGGTGACCACTCAGGGTTGATTTTCTTCAGAACGGATAGGTTTGTTCTCCTTGCAGTCCAGTCCAAGTTCTTTGGCAGTCAGCCTTCTTTATCGTCCAGCTCTCACTTCCATACATCACTACTGGAAAAACCATAGTTTTGACCATGCAGACTTTTGTCGGCAAGGTGATGTCTCTGCTTTTTAAGATGCTGTCTAGGTTTGTCATCACTTTCCTCCCAAGAAGCAAGTGTCTTTTAATTTCATGGCTGCTGTCCCAATCTGCAGTGGTCATGGAGCCCAGAAAA